TCTACGTAGCCGATGCCTATAAAATGTGCGTCATTGATCGGCATAAGCCAGGATAACCTAACGATCATATCGGATTGAAATCTTCCGAGACTACTATGCTGCGTGGTAGTAAATTCTAGGTCATTGGAGATTTTGATGCTCAATCAGCAGCCAGCTATATAATATCCTAAATGAATCACCAATCCATTGAAATCGGTAGATTCAAGAGCGCATTTTGCATCTTTTGAAGTAAAACACAACCAACTGTTCGCCAGGCTGTGTTTTTCCTGGTATTTAGTAGTTGCTCCGTATCTTGTGAATACTCTTATCTACCGAGGCAGGTGGCACTGCAGGGCTCCGATACTACGTACTAGTAAAGCGCCTGCAGAAGGCAATTGAACTGAATGAAGCAAGTCAGAACAACTTCAGCTGGAATTCCACCAGTCACCCTTCATCTGGATGATAATGATCTATTGTTGATTGTCTGATTATCGGCGAAATTACCTTGGGCCAATGAAGGCGGCAGACGCCCTGCTGATTGTATCCATCCTTACTCTTTAGTAAGAGTACTACTTTGTAGGAAGTGGTAAGTAGTTAAGGCTAGTAAAGACGGACTTGGTTGCGCACCCCGTCGACCCACCAGTGGAGATTTCCACCTGTCGGAATCATTCAATGGCCGTCTTGTCCCTGTCCCTGCGGTGGTGCCTTTTTGTCTTTCTTTCTTCCTTCTTTTCCCCTCCTCCAATTTTGTCATTTCTTTTGATCACCTTCCGATCAAGCAGCCTATTGGCTAGATGGATTATATTTATTTAATCTTTTCTGGTAATTCCTTGTAATTGATCGGAGGAGAGTATCCTCCGTACCTGCGGCAGACATGATCATGATAAGGACTCGATCAGAATATTCCTAATATCTAGTGCAATATGTTCCCGTCTCAGTTCCTGTCGTCGTCCATCTAATTAATCAAAAAATGATTAATTAGGTGTCTTTTACAATTTCTTCAAATTTTCCTCTTCCCCACAGAATCTAACAGAAACATAGTCACAGCTCTAGAGCCATTTTAGGTAAAAATTACGAATACTCGGATCCCCTTTTTACCCTGTTCATTCAAGGTTCACTATACTGCCTAGGTAAGTTGCAGATAGGTTCCTTGGTGGTAGTACTGAACACCTATCAGTAACTCTAGTAATAGTAGACGAGTAGTAGTAAATCCTGGGAGATACCTCCAGTACAGCCAGCCAGTACAACACTACTACTTAGTTACTAGCAGGTACTTACTAGTAAGAGTATCTATACCAATCTCCTTTCAGTTAGACCAAGGTACCCGGGTCACATTGTTCTGCCGTCTCATTCGCCCGTGACCCCACCCATCGCTCCTTCTCCTTCCACTTCCCTGCAGCCAGCCAGCCTGTGGAAGTTCACCACTTGCTTTTTCCCACCCAAAAAACTGAACCGACTTCCTCCTCCTCCCATCTTCCTTCGGTCTTCCATCGCCCACCCCCCGCTCGGATCATCTGTATAGATGCTACTCTGTCCCCCCTTCCATTACTTCTTGTTCTTAAAAGTAAATCCCGACTAGGTAGGTACTTTCTATACCTTCCTCCCTCAGTTATTTTCTTTTCCCTTTTCCCTGCCGAATATCACCCGGGTTGTTTCATACAAGCGTCTGAAGTGGAGTAGGAGGGCCTCCCACTTCCAATCCGTCTGTCTCTTTCCCAGAATTTCCACCCCTCTTTTCTTCTGCCGGTGGAGAGGGCACATGAAATCCGCCACGGTCGACAACCGTTGACTGCAAGGCTTTTAGCGTCACGCTCGGTTCAAAGTCCGTTCAGCTCGCCTGGTGCAAGGTCCGCCTGGTGGCCCTGACTGGCGTTCCGGTGCATTCCAGCCTCGTTCCTCAGGATCCTAGCAGCCACGCTAGTCTCTAGCCAGTCCACTGGCGCTAACCACTACGGCGCGACTGCTGCTGCAATTCGCCGTACCGCTTCTACTTCGGCCGCGAAAGGTTCGAATTCTCGGAGACAATATTCATCGGTTTCTCCGCAAACCCTGCCTATCCATCCATCCTTTCACCCACCCAACAACACCTCTCTCCTCTTCCCCCCCCCCTTCTCCCCCTCTCCTCTCTTCTTCCCTGTCTAAGCTTCCTTGGGTTAAAGAGGCCGTCGAACCAGGTCAGCCCCATTTGCCAGTCCTTGGACTGCCAACACAAGATAGTCTTCCCTTCGACAACTCCACGTACCATGTTTACGAAGTTTGTACTTCGTCGGTACTCTGTCCTGCCCGTCCGTTTGGCGCAGTGGGACCGACGGAAATGCACTTCCTGACCTGTGTAGCAATTACTCCGTACAGACATGCCACTATTACTACTATCATCATCATCTGTCTGATCCATGTCAGCACCTAGGATGGGTGACAGCTACGCTATCCAGGATCATGCAAATCGGTCCCATGAAGAGAGGAGCTGTTATCACTCCATGGCTGCCGGCCTCCACCATAGCCACTTTGCGCCAGTCTACGTCGTTTGCCCCTGTTGAAGGAGGGTTGTTCCTGGACTTTATTACCTTTAATTGTGTTGTTCAAACTCAACACCCCTTTCAATTTAAATCCCTGACCCCTGTTTATCTTTCTTGGCTCCTTAAAGGCTCATCCGTCAGCTCGGACTCCCATGCATCTCCAACAAATCACCTGAACGTCTTCCCTGGATGGTGGCGGATAGTTCGCTAAGTGGCTCCGAACCTAATCCGTCTGCCTCGATCCATGACCGGTGTCCGGCGGATTATGGAGCCAACGCCCGACTAGTGCTGTCGGTAGACTAAGTCTCCCACATGGTGTGCCTACTGCCGCCGCTTCTGTAGCAGGGACGGTTGTCTCGGATGACTCAGGACAGGCTCCAGCCCGGCGACCAGGGTCTAGTATTCAGTAATAGGCAGTATTGCCCCTTGAGAGGCCGCGGTTGGCTGACAAGCACACGCTGGTTTGCGGATTTTGAGCTAGGGAAATCTCAGCGTCCCAGACTCCCACTGACCCGCACGGTGGGATGCAATGGACCGCGGACGGGGTTGCCGGTTCCACGTCGGAAAATTTACGAGCAATAGAGTATGCCGGATGGAGATTACTGGAAACGGTCGATGGTTGTTTCGTCCACTCCATGCATGAGAGATTTACCCGTTACCTGGACTGAAGAAGCAACTCGCTCATGAACGATCACGAGCTGGTCCTCTTGTCTAGCCTCTGAATTACCGTGTACAGGGCTGTTATTCAGGTTTGTCCGAGTCGGTTTGGCCTCTTGTGGATTATCAGTTCGCCACTTTTATTTTAATGATGTACCGTGATGTTGCTGTCCTTTCCATCCATGATACCCACTGCACATGCCATCCTCGATCTCTTCCCGTCTTCCACCTTAATTTTATTTATTTTGATTTGTTTCGAATTTTGAATTTTGAATTTTGAATTTTGATTTTTATTTTACTTGTTTTATTTTATTTTTATTTTCCATTTTATTTCAATTTTCCTTTCTTCTCCTCCCGTCTGTCCTCCATATCAGATCGAACGCGGCTTCGCAACCGTGGTTCAAACCCCTATCGAATTGTAAGGCACAGCTCACAGTCTTCTCACCCCCTCCGTGACGTTCAAGCTGCGGACCACCTACTGGTCTCAAAAAGGCGTGGTGATCATAAGCACCTTCGTTGGCCAGTCCGTCCGATGACAACCTCCGGGCATACTACTACTGCTGGTTCTGCTGTCTAGCCCAGAGGGGTACACTACTAGTCGTCCTGCGATCTACTAGGGCACTGGGCTGGGAGCTGGTCAAACCTGGAAACATCTCCGATCCCCGTTTCCTTCTTCCCATTATTTCCATTGCTCTCTCGTTCTCTCTCTCTCTCCCTCACTCCCTTTCGGCTCTGAGCCAGATGTACACCTACCTACCTCTGGGGAATTAAGTTGGGTTGACACTTGTAGTATGGTGCCAGATCTTCGTGTACCGAACATCTAAGCTGTGGCCCGTTCAATCCAATTTCCTGTTTTCTGACGCTCGTTCCTTTATCTTATTTCTCTCTATTCGTTTTTATTTATTTTATTTTATTTTTATTTCCCCCCTCAATTTCCCACACACTCTTTTTTTTTGAGTTTGTTCCTCCGCGTTAGCATCAAGCATCTGCCTATCGTTGGCCAATACACCCTGTATCCAGGACTGAAGGCCATTCGTTCCTCCAGAGGTCCGACACTCATCCACCGACGAACCCTTCCGTCGTGTGCCCTTCTGCTGCATCTTTAGCCCGAAGACGACGACGACGGTGGTTGTGGTGTTGTTTTCTTTTGGTGGCCAACCTGAAAGTGGATCTCTGGTTGGCTGTGACGAAGGCCTTTCGTTTGTCTAACGCCCTGCGTTATTTCCATTACCGTGATCGTGCTTTTGTTTCCGGCTTGGGCTAAGCACGGGTTAATCTGCTCTATAACCTTCTACCCACCGTCCGGTAGTGTATCCCTCCCCCCCGCCCCGGCCGTATCCCAGGACCCAGCAAAGGGATCGACCTTCATTTCTTGCCGTTCGTCGTTGGTCCCAGCGGTGGCCGAGATTCTCCTTTATCGTTTCGGGGGGCAAGTCAAGGGGAACAGTCTAAAGTCGGAGAGCAGCGTGGTTCATCTGTGGCGGCTTGTCCACAACCCTCACTACTATCAGCACAGCCAACCCTGCCTTGTGTCCATCTGTTCTCTGTCTCCTTACTCCGTACTCCCTAAGTTTCCGCAGAGGACCGGCCAACGGGTTCTTATTCTCTGCTTCCCTCCGTCTTTCATCTCGCGGTCCACGGCTCGGAGATCCTGCGCTTCTTCAGCAAGCGCCCCGACTGCTCGTGCAGACCCACCCTACTCTCCCTTGGCTGCGATCCTGGTCGCAGCTTCTATCCATAGTCAGTTTTATACAGCGGTGCACCGGATCTTTCTGTCCTTTCGGACCTACCTGCACTAGACCTGCCTCGTTGTGATACTCTTGAGGATAGCAGACTTCTACTTCTATCATGTCAATCAGCGGACCGTGTGTCTGGTTGTCCTCGTTGTCGCCACCTTCCACTTCTCATTTGCCCGCCATAACAAATCATTGGTCGACAGCTTCCTGGAACAGTGAGCAAGCATCGTCAAGACCGAGGGCCCTGCCGTCCAGGCTGCCCGGGTCGTGGGAAAAGGAAGGCGAGCCAACCAAGCCATCTACTACCGGTATGCAACCACTTGTGCTCAAGGCTGAAAATGCCTTCACAGCTGCGGCTCCGCCGAATATATCGAGCCCGGTACAGCGCTCTACAGGGCCCGCGTCTGTCGACAATCGTGAGAATCGACACACAGAGACGAATGGCGATGCTTCCCGTGTGAAGTTGGAGAAGCACGGTCACGACGAACTTCAGCTTCCAAGGCCCCAAGAGACAGCCAGTCCTCGGGTTACAACCCAAACGACGCCGGAGAAAAAGGAAAGGGAAGCTACAGTGCAGCATGAAAAGGAGAAGGATGATGGTGACGCCGACATGCTCTCCTCGGATGATGGAGCAGGATCGTCAATAGGCGGTGACAAGAAACAGTCCTCAGATTCTAAAAGTGAGAAGAAAAAGATGAAGCGTTTTCGGTAAGCAAATGGTTGATTTCATCAGAGCCTGTGTTTCACGCTAACGCTTCACTGTAGACTTACTCACAACCAAACTCGATTCCTGATGAGTGAATTCACACGTCAGGCACATCCCGATGCCGCCCACCGAGAGCGACTGTCGAAAGAGATCCCCGGTCTGACGCCACGGCAGGTCCAGGTTTGGTTCCAGAATAGGTATTACCCACATTTTACATTTAGAGGCCACTCGATACATGATCACTAACACATATGTGGCAGACGAGCCAAACTCAAGCGGCTTACCAGCAACGACCGAGAGCGTATCCTGAAATCTCGAGCGCTACCCGACGATTTCGATACCACTCAAGTGCTACGCACTCCTTTCGACCATAAAACACCAGCAGAGGCACCAGTTGCGTCTCCCCGGACCCTTCTGACACGTAATCCTGCTTCTAACTCCTTCAAGATGTTACTCACAGATGGCCTGCCCCGACTCAATGATGATGACTATGTTATATCCCCTTTGAGTTCAGCTTCAACAACAAACGGTTTCTCAGCGGCTGCAGACAGGCATTTTGAAAGCTATGCTCAGCCTGGAGTCATGCCCGGGAGGGGAGGGCCTGCACTGTCAGACCTACACCGACATAACCGCAGTGCTTTCCCATTTCCCAGATCGAGCAGCTTCTCGGAGTCCTCCTTCAATAGCGGGCTCAATTTCCCAGGGCGCTTTTCGAGGCCTGGAGTGGAGCCATTGAGCCATCCCAGCATGGCGTATGGTCGCCGTCCAGTTGACTATGCATTGGGTCGGCCAGCTAACGGCATGGTCGTTGGATACGATCATCAGCGGGCGCTAGAGGGCTCCGTGTCACCCACGGGTCCACCCGATCAGTCAATCCACTACAACGTGGATAGTCACCGTATGTTATTGCTCTAGAGCCATGATGAGTAGTGAACTGACATTTCTCGGCATCAGACCAGCAAATACCTAACTATCATTCTTCCTTGGCCATGCCAGCTCCTAAGGGATATGGTGGCATGGAAATAAACTCTCATTTACAGCAACATGGACGGCAGATGCCTGCTCTACAATCCGTGCCAGTCTCAGATGCGCCTGACTACCGATCCTACTCATACGACCATCATCCATACGGCATCAGCCACACAATGCCATACTCGCAAGCCAATGCTTCCAGCATGAGCCTTCCCGCCTCATTTCCTTCCGATACCACTCCGGGAGCCGTTACGACCTCCGCCGAAGACCGAATGAACCATCCTCCACAGCTAATAGACCCAGCCAGGGCCAAGTTTGGCGGCCAAACTTTCGAATACGCGAATTACCTATAATGCAGGGTTTCTGTGGAAATGGAAGCCCCATACCATTCTTCGACCGCAGTACATCTCATAATCCTTGCGGAAATCCATCCTCATATAATCGGCTGCGGACACTTACATTCCTTTTGGCTCCTGGCTTTGACCCCATTACAGGAGCCAGACTATCATCTCCTAATCTCTTTTCTCCTTCCTATCCTTGCGACTTTTCTTTCTCAGCCGCTTCCTCTTCCCTTGCATTTTATATTATCTCGGAGGCGGAAAAATGCATGTATCTTCCAAAATCAGCTTTTCTTGGGCGGGTCATTAGTGGCGTCTGATTTCAGCCTGTTTTCTCTCCAATCTTCTCTTATTTTGGATTCTTCTAGGCGGGCTGCTTGCATTCCTTTGCTGTTTCTTTTCTTTTTTTTACTCCGGTCTTACTGCCCACCTAGCTTGTGTTTATTTTTTGGGAGGGGCCAAGGAGGTTGCCGTCGGTTTACACCTGTACATGGATATTAAATTCTAGTTGATAATTTTTAAAAGGTTATACAAGCTACTGGCAACAGCCGGCAAACGTTGCATTCTCAAAGTCTGCCTTTCTGGTATTTCGTCTCCACCCTTAGCTACCCCCGTGACTACTGTAGCCTTAACGTATACATTCAGGTCTTAGTAAGCGCCGCAGAGAGTCTACATTCGACTGCTCGGGAGATATACCGTCGCTCCCGCGTCGATCCAGCAGTCGGTGCTTGTTCCCGGATCGACCATCGATGGGAGTTTGGGACACCCACTGGCTGGGTGATTGATTGCCTAGTGCCCGGGGGGAAACTTGAACAACAAAGTGAGCATGCTGTGCCAACTGGGTGATATCATTCTGTACCAAAATAGTTCTACAGCGACCAATGAGCGTGCGCTTCTATCATGTTGCGGTGCTTCTTCTGATGGAGGCAGATGATCCAATGACAGCGCTCAGGATTGCAGGAGAACTGGAAAGTAAGCAATCATGCTACCACCACTCTACGCTCGTAGATTACAAACGCAAGCGATCTGTCTTGCCGACCATCGAACCATACTGGGTTGCATTATCGAATCAGAAGAGGGCGAAAGGCAATGTCTGATGCTTCGAGATGGTCAGCAGTCCGCGATCGCCCCCGTCCGGGCCAATCAGAGCGCGGACATTGCTAATCGCGCCCGATCCGCTGTTCAGCAGAAGTCGATTGTGGCAAGTATAAATTCCTGCTACAACCCCATCGTCTTCAATTCTTCAGAATAAATCATCCGGACATCTTTCTCTGCCTTGGATTCCATCTGAATCGCTTCTCTCTATCAGATACTTTTCGTGCTATATTTGATCGCAAACGTTCTTCGTGCATCCTTGGAAGGATTGATACTTAGTCTCCGCTCCGTCCTTGATTACGTCATATATTATCCCTCTATACAACACCGGGTCTCCGTCGCCTTACTTCTCCCCAGTCAAACCAACATCCAGTCAAAATGGTCCACCCTTCCTCCACCTGCTGCAAGACCTCTGGTGATGGCAGCTGTGTCTGCGCTGCCCAGGCCAAGTGCTCCTGCGGCAAGCAGAACGCCCTCCACTGCACGTGCAACAAGGCTTCGACCGAGAACACCGTGAGCGGCGCCCGATGCTCTTGCAGTAAGTCGTTCCCTCCCTGTTAAATCAGACTTGAGACAGATAATCATTCGAGTCTGGTGTTTCTGCGGACCAATCGCTAACATCATCGTCAGGAGCTCGTCCTGCCGGAGAATGTACCTGTGAACGTTCGGCAACTGAGAACCACCCGGTGACGGGAGCAGCCTGCCCATGTGGCAAGAGGTCTTCCAGTAAGTCCTGAGTGTGTACTTCCGAGAGGAATCTGAGCTAACAAAGACTTTAGCTTCTTGCACCTGTGAGAAGGCCAGCGCTATTGACGCTGCTGTTGGTCTTGAGACTGACTTCACCACTCGGGCTTAAAATCCACTCCTGCACCTTTGTGTGGAAATTGATGATCAAATTGTTCTTGGCCGTTACTGGATTGCATGTTCCATGGAGTGATCGGTGTTCATTACGGAGTTTTCGGGAGGCTGAGATTGACCGGCTTCATGGTTGCGTGGGTGTTTGATTCTGGGTTATTGTGCATTGCCATGGGCTATCCTCAAGGGGAAGCGAGAGATTACGTAGTATTAGTGACGAAGAGTCGAATTGTATCTTAGAATTATACCTAATGCGACGACTGTCTGAAACCCGATGTTAGTGGGGAAATGAGTGGAGGAGTGTCCCTAAAAGATTTACTGACTTCGTCCTCCGTAGCATGGCGATTGATCTCATCGACATGCAAGAGGAACAAGTCTGATTAAAGCCAAGAACGGAAGTGAAAATGGCAGGGAGGAAGGAATTCATCAGTCTGCGGAGTGATGTCTTTGCTGCAGTACCCCCACCCGATCGCAGTGCCTTGAATCCGATAAGGTTCCTATAGATCAGGAACCATCCCCCTGGGTTCAAATACAACTCGTGCGTGATGGGCGTTTGAAGTTAACGTCACAGTCGTCGTAGTCAAGATGGAATACAATCAATTAACAAATATAAACATCTGGAAGAAACAATATTTTGCCTTCTTTTTTCCATCAGAATGATAAGCTGCAGCTCCTATTTTATAAACGGGGTTGACATGTGCACCGCCACAGCGCAACAACATTAATCCCGATCTCCGCCGGATCGCCCGCGGAAGTGGCTGAGGCAGCTTCCCTCCTGGGCCAAAAGGGTCTCGTTCTCCCTCCTTTCCGCTGCCGGACTGCCTCCACGTCTCTGCTTGTCCCTGTCCCATAGAGCTCGACGTTCTGATCGGAGCCATCTACCGGCTTCTCACCATCCTTCTGCTCTTCCAACTTCCTGGACAGTCCCACCTACCCCTCGATTCGCGATTCGACTGTCTGTCCCACCCTCCCCCCTGTTGCGCGTTCTCCGAAAGGCCACCCCCCCCCCCTCCAGATCTCGGCTCCTCCATTTGGCTCACCATTGCCCTTGCGCCATGCTCCATGCATCATAGCCACTAAAGCGGAATTGACAACGAACAACCCGAAAGGAGGGACTGGACATGATTGTATGACATACACTCATTCGGAGGAATTTCACTAGCGTGGTGTTTGCGCTTACATGACACCGTGAAGTTCAGGAACGATAGATCCGACACCTCACGATTCGATTTCCCACTCTAATAATTGATCTTTGATTCTTGTCACACCATATGCTACATCGGTCAACATGTCGTCTATGCGAGGCTTGGTTCAGTTCATCGCCGACTTGCGAAACGCAAGAGCGCGCGAACTCGAAGAGAAGCGAGTGAACAAGGAATTGGCCAACATTCGGCAGAAGTTCAAGGGCGGCAGTCTAAATGGTTATCAGAAGAAGAAATACGTCTGCAAGTTGCTCTACGTGTATATTCAAGGCTACGACGTCGACTTCGGTCACCTGGAGGCCGTGAACCTTATTTCTTCCAACAAATACTCCGAAAAGCAGATCGGTTACCTGGCGGTCACGCTCTTTTTACACGAGCAGCATGAACTGCTCCACCTGGTTGTCAACAGCATACGGAAGGACCTGTTAGATCACAATGAGCTGAACAACTGTCTGGCCTTGCACGCGGTTGCGAACGTCGGTGGAAGAGAAATGGGCGAGGCGCTTTCGACAGATGTCCATCGGCTCCTGATTAGCCCGTGAGTGCCTTACGGTCCTTCTGTTGTCGGTTTTTTGCATGTCTGGCTGACCGGGATCTAGTACCTCCAAGGCCTTCGTCAAGAAGAAGGCTGCGCTGACTCTCCTTCGATTGTATCGCAAGTTCCCCGACATTGTACAGAACGCTTGGGCGGAGCGAATAATCTCCTTGATGGATGATCCCGATATGGGTGTTACGCTTTCGGTCACCTCGCTTGTAATGGCATTGGCCCAGGATAAACCCGACGAGTACAAAGGTTGCTACGTCAAGGCCGCACATCGCCTGAAAAGGATAGTGGTGGATAACGACATTGCCTCCGACTACCTTTACTACCGTGTGCCATGTCCTTGGATCCAGGTCAAGCTGTTGCGGTTGCTACAGTACTATCCTCCGTCAGGTATGCCTTTCATGTATCATCATCGGCTCTATGTGCACCACTAAACAAGTGAACAGAGGATAGCCATGTCCGCGAGATTATCCGCGAGTCTTTGCAGCAGATCATGAACTTGGCCATGGATGCACCGAAAAATGTCCAGCAGAACAATGCCCAGAATGCCGTTCTTTTTGAGGCGATCAACCTTCTCATCCACCTCGATACCGAGCACAGCCTTATGCTACAAATATCTGCACGTCTCGGAAAATACATTCAGTCGCGAGAGACGAATGTGCGGTACTTGGGGTTGGAAGCCATGACGCATTTCGCGGCTCGGGCCGAGACTCTAGATCCTATCAAGAAGCACCAAAACATCATTCTCGGATCGCTCCGGGACCGCGATATCAGTGTTCGACGCAAAGGTCTGGACCTGGTCTATAGTATGTGTGACACCACAAACGCCGGTCCGATTGTGAACGAGCTACTGCGCTACCTTCAGACGGCCGATTATGCCATTCGCGAGGAGATGGTGCTGAAGGTCGCTATTCTGACTGAGAAGTATGCTACCGACGCGCAGTGGTATATTGACATGACCCTCAAGCTCTTGTCGCTGGCTGGAGATCACGTCAACGACGAAGTGTGGCAACGAGTTATCCAGATCGTGACCAACAACGAAGAGTTGCAGGCTTATGCAGCACACAACCTGCTTGGATATCTGAAGACCGATTGTCACGAGAGCTTGGTAAAGATCGGATGCTATGTTCTGGGTGAATTTGGCCATCTGATCGCCGACAATCAAGGCTCCAGTCCCATTGAGCAGTTCCTGGCGCTGCAAGCGAAGATGATCACCAGCACCGACACGACACGAGCCATGATCCTCTCCTCCTTTGTCAAATTTGTCAACCTCTTCCCCGAGATTAAACCCCAACTTCTGCACATATTCCGTTTGTATAGCCACTCCCCCGATTCTGAATTGCAGCAGCGTGCTTTTGAATACCTGTCGCTGGCGACGCTTCCCACCGATGACCTCCTGCGAACGGTGTGTGATGAGATGCCGCCCTTCTCGGAGCGCGCGTCGATCCTGCTCTCTCGGCTGCACCAGAAGACGGCCGGCACGACAGAGAAGAAGACATGGGTTGTAGGCGGCAAGGATGCGAATGCCGACAAACAAGAGGTGCTTATGGCACAGAATACGGGACTGAAGCGTAGTTTCACCACCATCGTCAATGGCCACAAGACCGGGGCCAACGGCACGACAGCCACGTCGGGGGCCTCGGGTGACCTAGCAGGACTGGATCTTAGCGCCCCATCAGGTCCGCCGCCGAACATGGCCAGTGCGGCTCATCTCACGCCGGACTGGGATATCGGGTACAACCGACTTTACTTTGGCGATGAAGGTGTGCTGTTCGAGGATGCGCAGATTCAAGTTGGCCTGCGTTCCGAGTACCGGGGGCATATGGGTGTGGTGAAGATATACATCTCTAACAAGTCATCCTACTCTATCGGGTCCCTCACCACGACGGTGGATAATCCGGCCGCACCGAACCTGAAGATTGACACGAAGAGTCTTCCCGATCCATCAGTGCCTGCCGTGGGTCAGACGCAGCAGACATTCTTGGTTGAGGGGCGCGGGCCGTTTACGGAAGCGCCGACGATCCGCATTTCATATCTTGCGGGAGCGCTTCAGGCGTACACGTTACAGCTGCCTATTCTCATGCATCGATACATGGAGCCGTCGGCGTTGTCAGCGGAAGATTTCTTCAAGCGCTGGCGGCAGATTGGTGGGGGCCCGCTGGAGGCACAGAATACATTTGGCGTTACGGCGCGACACAAGGAAATCGGAGAGGCGTTTACACGACGAGTGGTGGAAGGCTTTGGGTGGAAGATCCTGGACAACGTGGATCCGAATCCGAAGAACATTGTAGGCTGCGCGGTGTACCAGTTTGCTGAGGGCAAGACGGGCTGTCTCCTGCGACTGGAGCCCAACTATGAGAGATCGGTAAGTTGTTTCCCTGTCAAAGAGTGCAAGGAGTAAGAGCTGACTGTATGACTTAGATGTATCGAATCACGATCCGCGCGACACAGGAAGCGGTGCCACAGGCATTGGCCAAGCAGATGGAGCAAAAACTGTCGCAGGGAGAGCGAGGAGACAGTGGGCGATGATGCTGGGGGCGTGTCATGCTGCATGTTTGATTCTTCGTACTCCGCCAGGTGGCAGTGGGCGGAGGTGTATTTATTATTGATATCGCACATATATACCTGGGACATGCGGGACGCTTGTTCTTTTCTTTCATCTTAATGTACAGGCAGCAGTCGAAGTTACTGTCTTGTTTTTTCCCCCCCTTCCTCTTTCATCTCTTGTTCATCATCCCGGAAAGACGTATAATGGTGATGCATATAAAACAGGTCGTGAATCGTAACCCCTGTTGGAAATGAACTCAAACCACCCTAGCCTGATCCTTAGGCGGCCTATCCCCAAAGATAGTAGTCCCAACGCGGACCTCATCACTACCCAGAGCAATAGCGCCCTCGAAATCCTCACTCATACCCATACTCAATTCCAACGCGGCTTCCTCCCCGAGCAACCCCAGCTCCTTGACCACCCGATCCCTCGTCTCCCTCAAACACACAAAATCCTCATTCTCATTCTCCGGCGTCGTGGCCTTCGACCTGGCAATGGCCCCGATGGTCATAACTCCCTGCAACCGCAACCGGGGACACTTATCCCTAATAAAGCGACACAATTCCAGCGCGCCATCGCCCGGCTCCACCCCACTCTTATTCTCCTCCCCCGAGGTATTCACCTGCACGAACACCCTCAACCTCTCCTCATGATTCGTCTCCTTTACCTCAGCACTCCTCTCCCCCCACCCTTTATCCAGCAACGACGCCTTCTTGGTACTATCTACGCTCTCGACGGCCCAGAGCGCGGGGGTATCCCGCGCAAGAGTCACGCATTTGTTGCTCTGGAGGCCGCCGATGAAGTGCCATTTGATGGTAGTGGGGAGGAGACGGGCTTTCTCTTGAAGTTCTTGGAGGTAGTTTTCGCCGAAGTGGGTTTGGTGAGCGGGTGGGTTGGTGTGGAGGGTGAGGATGTCGCTGGCGGGTTTGAGTTTGGAGACGGCGACGAGGCGGGGCGGGGTGGATTTTGGAGACGAGGTGGTTGCGGTGTTGATGCGGGCTGTTACGGTTGCGAGGTTGGTGAGAAGGGTGGTGGTGCGGGTGGGGGTGGAGGGTCGAATTGGGGTGGCCATGATGCTTGTTGCCTGTCCCCTTTGGGAGGTGTATGTATCTGTGGTTTGTGGGGATGGATAGAAGGTTACAGAGAGAGAGAGTACTTTAGCTGAGGTAGAAGTGGAATGTAGTGATAAGATTGATTCGGGCCGATGCAAGAGCTACCACGCTAGTCTGCTTTTGGTGCTAGTGCTACACGTGATATAGTGAGGTTCAATTCGGATTCGGCTTTATTGTTCCGAAAAGCACGTGGCTGACTAAGAGGGGCAGTTCGTGCTAACTAAGCTTGGTTGGTCGGTTGGATGGTTAGACCATAAGATTAACTAATCACGAATCAGTAATCAATCAGTCGTGTCGTCATTCTGCAGATTGAAGGTTGAAGCCATGGGTTAAAGTTCGAGGTTACGTGTGTGTGTCTGGATGATCTACTCCTCTTGTTCTTTTGCTACTTTGTATGCACTCTTTGATGTCATTATTCCCTCCCCTCCAGATCTCTCAGCGTGCAACGACAAAGCCACACGTTGCTCCTTACCCCCTCCCTCCCCTTTCACCCCTCTTTTTTTTTTTTTTTCTCAACGCACTTTCTGCCGGTAGATCGCACTAGAAGTCCGGTTTGGGTTTCCCAAAACCGCCGCCCGGGGGCTGTCAGTCAGACCTTCGTCTCTCTGAACCCACTGCCAATTTCCATCGACTCCATCCGGCTCCATTTCGTCAAGGGACTATTAGTCTTCCGAGACCATTAGTGTTGACTATCTCGGCTGAAGGAGGAGCTCGTGGGTAGCAATAGTCGCCGTCCCTCTCTCTCTTTCGGAGCGGTCTAGCAACCAACACGGGGCTTTTATGTCCGACAATAATGAACTAAAACTAAAGAAATACAGATGCCTGGACCTCGACTCGCCGGATGTTGGCTGCTATTCCTATCCCGGTCCGTTTATTCCTTTTACCCCCTGATGCACAACACACAAACACTCACTTTCTTCCTCCCCCCCTGATTTATAATTAATAATACATTTTCTTTTTATTTTTTTACCCCCTCTTTCCCTTCCATGGTTGAAGAAGATTTTACTTGCCTTTTGTGCCTTTTTTTTTTATTTTTTTTGTTTGATGTTTCCTTTTATAAGTGAACGTACCACTGACCACAACTCCGAAGTGACATTCAAAACCCGGATGGACCGGGGAACCATTCACGGGACTGAACCAAACAATCAGAGAAAATGAAAAGCGATTTATAAGGGAATCCAAATAAAAAGGGTAACACTAAGTAGAAAAGGACTCAGGAGCCATCCGAATTAGGCAATGCAGGTAGTGACTAGGCCCCAGTTGGCTTGGGCTTCGATCGATGCGACAGTCCGATCATCCCTCTTCTCCGTGGTAGCCGGGCCAGTGAGCATTTGTAAAAGTAGTCGTCGACCTTCTCTTCGTCATGATGAACCAGGGTAGCTGCATCTCTCACCGTTTCCCTTCCCTCTCTTCCTGCATGAAGCCATCATTCCATCCTTCCATTTGGCGCACTCTTTAACGCCCTACTCCACCACAGCGCTTGCAGCTGACGTCAAACACTTCGTCTGAACCAACTGTCTGGACGGCTCTTTGCTGCTGCATTGTCATTCATTGCCCTTTCTCTCATGCTGGCTCTTTTTAAAGAAACATCTGCCGTCATTTTCCTTCATTGATCATCCCTGAGGTGGTGGTTTTCCGCTGACTGACCGACTGACTCCCTTGCCCTCATTGACGCTCTGCTCCCCTTCGCCTTTTCCCTTCCCCTCCTCTTCCTCCTCCTCATAACTCTTCCACCCCCCTCCTTGCTGAATACACATTGATGAACCTGGAAATCTCTCCCCCTACTCGATTTTGATAGAACAGTCCCGGCGACTGTTGTTCCTTCAGCCTTGGTTGTGCTGGAAGTGCGTCATATCAGCTTTTCCAAACCGCTTGACCCTCAATCCGAACCGCCCAGTCCAGACCCGCGGAACGCCGAGTGATCTCCATCCCTCCATCGTCATCTATATCCTACTATAAACCGCCTCTCGTCCACCAGCTTCTGCGCAAAATAGATTTTCAACTTACGAGCAACGGCCAGCAAGATCTCTCCTGCTTTGAAAGCAGTTTCTATCAAAAAAGGAGTACGACAGTGTACAGATTCCACTTTACATCAACCCCTCTCCGGAAGGCCGCGGAGTCAGAAGAATCCCGCACCAAATCCACACCGACTCAAACCCTCTTCAGCGCGGCCGGTCTTTGGGCACGAATTGCTTCTTGGTGGATCTAGATTCGACCGTTTAAACTTCCGGCACATTTGATCTCTCGCTTTTTCTTCTTATTTTTTCGAAATTTACTTTTTCTGCACTGCCTCCATCACCAACTCATCACACTACCCGCTTCTCTGCTCTCTACCCCCACCCCCTCACTCAAAATGTGTCGCCAGTACTTCATGGTCTATGAATGGTGCCGGTGTGAAGAAGACGCCGGCCAACAGCTTTGTTCCTCGCGCAACAATGAGAACAATTACTGTCCCGAAACGTCTATCCAGCTGGTCCACATGCACTGTTTCTGCTACGGACACGCAACCCACGGCTTCAAGTCGGAGCGGAAGTTGCGCAAGCAGGAGCGCAAACAGGATCGCAAACGTTTCTCGATGCTGAGCTTTGCGGACAAGAGCGACAGGAGCGACAGGAGCGACAGAAGCGAGCCCAGCGAGCCCAGCGAGCCCAGCGAGTCCAGCGAGTCCAGCGAGCAAAGCCTGCCGACTCCACGGAAGAAGCGATGGTCCTTGTTCGCTAGCTTACGGTCGCGGACCTTTTAAGCTGCGTTTTGACGTGGCCGAGTGTGTTTTTGCAATCGTTTGATTTTCCTTTGTGATTTGGGGTATTTTGTGAATCATCAGCACCGGTGTTTGGATGCATGGATCATCTTTCTCCTTGGGGTGGGTTCGGTTCGGGCGTTCCTCGGGCGTTTATCATTTGCTTTTATCAGGGTCGGGCGGGACTTTCAAATCCCGATGAGAAAAAGAGACTTCTTCATACCCCTCTCTTTGGTGTTTATTCTTGGGGGGTTATACCTTGAGGGACCCTGTATGTTATCAGTTGAGTTGATCGTGGACTAGATGGATGTAAATAGATTGGCTGCTCCGATCAGATCGGGAGCGATCTGATTGTGATGCGCGAACCCCAGATGATGCATGGATTATTTGGGGGCAGCAATAAGACGATCGACTATTGTCTGACCAGTGATTATTGGAAACCACATCGGCCCAGTCAGGGATGACGGGTCACATTCTCAACGAGTTCCTGCAAGACACACTTGGAAGAACTACTATAAATGCAGCCGTCGTAGAAGTAGAGATTAAGTAGAGAGGCCAAGTGGAGCG